CGTGGGGCCCCGTCACTGTAGACTGGTGGAGACCCAGAGGGACATAATCATGATCTGAAAGGGAAGGGAATTAAGTCTCAAACCCAGCTGAGCAGCGAAGGGGAATCCACCTTTTACAGGTGTTACAGGGAAGCTCGCATGAACAGCTTTACCTTCGTGGTTCCTACGAAAGGTACTGAAATATCATTCATCAGGAAAAGTGTGATGAAATTGTGGGTATTAGGTGCAACGCTTAAAAGGAACATGCTGGCCCCCACTTCAGAGTTTTTAGAAGTTGTCAAGTATTGTCATTTGAAGAATGGCAGGAAGACGTGCTAGACGTGTGTGGATGTCCCAGGCCACATGACAGCTTATAATTCATTTTACATGAAGGTCTGTTGTGGCCAGGTGCACTGAACTACGAATAGACTTGCAAGACAGGAGCTGCTGCAGGCAGCAGGGTGAAGACGAATGTGCAAGCTGGTGTCTGCCCACCGCACGAACCTCTTGCTTCAACTTTTCCCCATGTGAGCTAGCTGTCTTGTGTAGTGGGAAACGGAAACGAACACATGAGTTAACCTTTCTCCCCCATAGATGCATCACACTTGATGGTGGTGGTGGTGTTTCTCCTGACTTCTGAACCCTGCTGAGGGATGTGACAGAGTAGGCATGAGTTTCCTGGTGTTGTCCATAATGGCGATGTGTTGAAAAATGGTGGATGGGCTAGATCATTTGGAAGGTCTATGCTAGTCCCCTTATCTTTTGACCTTTCTCCCCGCGCCCATATTATTTGTTATACAAGGATAATCTCAGTGTAAAGTAGTTCGCTCTGAGCTCAATTGTACAACCCTTCTGTTTTTAGTTCTTAGAAGAAAGAATTAAACAACAAGAAAATCCATTGATTTTCATTTATTTGATCGATAACTATTGAGTTCCTACATGATAGATGCTGAGGATTCGATCGTGAAACATTCTCAGGTCTTATGGACATTATTCTAGTAGAGAGAGAACAATATGCAGATTATATACAGAGTATGAGTTCAAATAAAGTAGGTGACCAGGGTATAGGAGTGACCACAATAGGCCTCTGATAAGACACTATTTGATCAATTTGTTTCTATAATCAACACTGCGACCTGTTCAGATTCAATTTAGTGTTACATGCCCTTTAAGGTAATGTGCACACTGTCAGAACCCTTCTATCAATAGGTTTCGTGTCATAGATCATTGGCATGTGGCACCAAGACTAAATATTGGGTTGTTGGAAACGTCATGACGCATTTTTGCGATGAAAAAGAGAAAAAATACATCATGACTTTTCTGACAACCCAATACATTGAGACTCTGTCATCAATGATGCAATTCTTTCCCCTCTGCTCTATCAGAAAAAAAAATATTGGGAAAAATTTCAATAAAAAGTAAAATAAAAGTCATTCTGGTCAGTCAGATACTTAGGTAATCCACAACACTCATGCGCTAATTATCCCATAGTAAAGCGGTCTCGTATTTGTGACAGCCTTTCATTGGGATGATGAAGATGTCTTCCAGCTTTAGGTCAGAGGTGTCTGGTGACATGCACACATCTTGCTCCTGGTACTTTAGGGAGCAGAGACCAAGTGTAGGGAAGCAGAGAATCATAGGTTCGGTGGACTCCAAAAAAAGTCTACCATCATCCTTTATAAAAATAAAATCGTAGCCTCTGATGAAAACCACGTGTTTGCTGCTCATTTGTCACCAACTTGCCTGGCAGCTGTGGTTCCAGTTTCAGAGTGTTTGTGATTGTTTCAGTGCCTGTCTGTCTGTCTGGTCATAATCACTGCCGTTTATGGAGTCTCTCCTGTGATCCAGACATGGTGTCTGTTCTAATTCTGATGTCTGTGAGGTGGAGAGGATTCTGTTCCTCCTTCATGTCGCATCTGGTGGTGGCTGAACCAGGATAACGATAAGATCGATTGATCTGACGTGACAGCTCAGGGTTCCCAATAGTGCGCGCGGCTTCTCGAGGGAAGGCCATTTAGGCCGGCTGCTGGCTGCTGACGGCGGCCCCTGGCTCTGGCCAGTGCCTATTTCTTTTCCAGGCAGATCAGGCCTGACCAACATCCCCTGAGGAAATCCATAAATCCATAAACCCGCTGCACCACAGAGGATTTCAAATTTATGGCAGACCTTGTGGCCAAAATGGCAGCTTTTTGAAAAAAAACAAACAAACCCAAAAAACTGCTCTACTTACCGATTTTAATTTCCTGGCAAAGGGAATAACTTGACTTCAGAGAGATGAGGCACCTTTCTTCTTCCCAACCTCACCTTCCCTGGAGAGTTGGTGACTTTGACTCTGTTGCCCATTCTTTTTAAGATTCCCCATTGATCTGTGAACAATAAGCAATGTAGCCCAGGCTATTTTAAAGCAGCATCTGTATAGTGATCAACTTGTAACGTTTCCTCTGTGGCCCTGAGCCTGTGGATGCCTGGCCCTGAGTAATACATACCTATGTAGTGCACAGCAGTGGTTTTAACCTTTTGATAACCACAGACCTTTTTAGAAATTTCTTTGAGTTATTTTCTGGTGGGTGTGTACTTTTTATCAAGGAGCAGAGGTGAATATGAACCCACCTAATGAGAAAGTGCTTGCGTATTAATACCACATGCTTTCACTAGCAAAGAAAAGTAAATAAATCAGCTATAAGTGATACAGGAGCTTGATAGGTGAGAAGCTAGCTCTTACTGGATTTCCCCTGTCACTCTGCCTGCCTGACCATGAACTTGATAACTTCCTGGGGAAATTCTTGTAGATGTTTTGGTATACTTCTTTGGTCTTTTTTTACTCTCTTTGCATTTTTATATAGTTGATAGTCTATTGAACATAACTGGTTTTAATATTGCATACCAATCTGGGATGGACCCAGGGGTCAGCCATCTTTTTCTGTCAAGGTCCAGATGGTAAATGTTTGAGGCTTTGAAGACCATGCAGCTCATCAGCTCTGCTGTTGTACCGTGCAAACAGCCATCAGTGATGTGTAAGCAAATGGACATTCGTGAGTTCCAATAAAACTTTATTTATAAAATGAGATGGGTGTGTTGTGCTGACCCCTGGGCTATGCTACTAAAATGGACTTACTAAAATGGACTTATTAATAATAGCAGTGATAGGTAATCTCTGTCTAGCATAGTTCATTAGCATCAATAATTTAAAAACCAAGTTACTCAAATTATTAAATATATTTTTATAGGTTTGACTATCATTACTCAAAGTCCATGGCAGTGAAATAGCTTGTTTTCCCCTCTATATAACTCTTTTTTTTGGGGGGGGGGAGGAAATTCTCTTTGCACTGTATCTTATGTAAAAAAAACAAAAACCAAAAAACAAACAAAAAACTATCATGTTAAAGTTAAGCCATTCGTTATTAGCCATTTTTGGAACTAAACAGCGTCAGAATAGACATTTTTTTCAAACTGTGAGAAAAACAAGGTGTGCGGTTGCACCTATTGGAAAGAAGCAGGAGCAAACTGACAATCATGGCAAAACATACCACAGACTGAAGATTTGCCCCCAGGCTGGGGCATTCAGCTGAAAAATGTGTGCCCCGCCAGGCTTTCTACCTGTAATAGCATCCAGTGTTCTGTCTCTACCTGTGTGACTTCATCATCCAAGTCTCTTCAACCTCTCACCCTCCCAGGCAGTTTCTATTTCAGACTCTGCTGGTTAGCACCCACCGCTATCTCAAGCCACTCACCAAAATGAGCTCAAAATGGATTAAAGACAAATGTGAGACCTGAAACCATAGGACTCCTAGAAGAAAACAGAAAAAAAAAAAACCAAACCGAAAATTCCTTGACATTTGTTTGGCAATGATTTTTTGGATACGACACCAAAAACACAGGCAACAAATGCAAAAATAAATAAGCGGACTATATAAAACTAAGAAATTTCTGCACAGTAAAAGAAACCATCAACAAAATGAAAAGGCAACCTGCAGAATGGGAGAAAATATTTGTAAGCCATCTATCTGATAAGGGGTTAATATAAAAAATATATAAGGAACTCATACATTTTAATAGCAAAAAAACAAAAAAAACCCACAAAAAAAACAATAAAAACTGGTTAGAGGACCTGAATAGCCATTTCCCCAAAGACATACAGTAAATGAAAAGGGTGCCCAACATCACTTAATCATGAGGAAAATGAAACTCAAAGCCACAGTGAGGTGTTACCTCATACCTGTTAGAAATGCTATTATCAAACAGGCAAGAGAAAAGTGTTGGTGAGGATGTGGAAAACAGGAAACCCTTGGGCCCTGCTGGTGGGAATGTAAGTTGGTACACCCACTATGGAAAATATATGGAGGCTCCATTGAAAATAGTATGGCAATTCCTCAAAAAATTAAAAATATCAATAGAATTATCATATGAGCTAGCAATTCCCTTTCTGGATGTGTATCTGAAGGAAACGAAATCACTGTCTTGAAGAGATATGCAACATTATTCACAATAGCCAAGATACGGACACAACCTAAGTGTCCATTGATCGATGAATATATACCAATGCATATATATACATATATATTCATCGGTCATATATGCACCAGAAAAAATCTGGTGTGTATATACCATGGAGAATTATTCAGTCAAAAAATAAGGAAATCCCGCCACTTGTGACAATATGGATAGACCTTGAGGGCATTATGCTGAATGAAATAAGTCAGAACAGAGGAAGACAAATAGTGTATGACCGATATCACATACTTGGAATCAGAAAAAGCAAAACTCATTATCTAGAGAGTAGAATGGTGGTTGTCAGGGGCTGAGGAGTGGGGGATACGGGGACATGTTTGTCAAAGGATACAGACTTCCAGTTATAAGATGACTCTAGGGCTGTAATGTACAGCCTGATGACTATAGTTAACAATACTGTATTATACGAGACCTGAAAGTCACTAAGACAGTAGATCTTAAATGTTCTCACCACACACACACACACACACACACACACACACACACACACACACGTAATCATATGAGATGGTGGAGGTTTTAACTAACCCTATTATGTTAATAAGTTTACAATATGTGTGTATCAGATGATAATGTCATTCATACTCCTTAAACTCACACAGTGTTATATGTCAATTATATCTCAGTAAACCTGGTGGGGGGAGACTTTGGGCTAAGCTTAGAAAATGGGGAGCTATTGAAAGATTTTGAGCAGAGAAGCGACATGATATGATTTATGTGTTGATATGGTCACCTTGGCAAGTTGGTAAATTGACCAAAAGAGGGTAAGAAGCTGTTGCACAAATTGATTAATTCAGGTGAGGTTAACGATACTGTCACTTGGGTTTGGGTCTGGGTCTGTTGCTGAGGTGAGGAGTTTAGGGTCCATTCTGAAGGTAGAGAGCCAGCATTTGCTGACCAGTTGGGCGTGGCGTGTAAGAGAAAGGAATCAAGGATGAAGGACATGTGTTCTGACTAATGTCCCTCACTGGTTACTGTCCATCAGTGCCCACACATTAGCAGATTATGTCCATTTGGCACCGGGTTTCTACTTTCGTGTTTGTTACTTAATTCTCCTCCAGAGACTCTGGTCATGCTTTGAAAAACTGAAAGTAAAGAATTCATTCTGAGAGTTTAAAACATTTTATTTCAATATACTAAATCAAAATCCAGCCCTTGGTCAAATTGTCTAATTTGATTGAAAAGAGAAGGGAGAGACACAGGCACAAGTCCTGGCTTCATGTTCATGACCATGGTTTGTACATGGTCATCCTTTGCTTAATGTCCGATCATCCTCATTTTGGTCTTTTAAGAAGAATTCACTTATGCAAAAACGATTTGGTGAGTGACTACTACATCGCAGACCTTCGGTTAGGGCCAGGGACCCGGAGAGCACGAAGGCAGAATCCCTCCTCTCAAGGAGCCTGCATCTAGTGGGAGATGCAGCAGTGTAATTGATAGGGGACTAAAATGAGATTAGAGATGGAACAGTGGCGGGGGCAAAGGTCCATGGGGGCAGAGGATGTCACAGCTTAATTTTATCTAAGAATGCAGGAAAGGTGTGGGTAGCCGAGTGGCTTACAAGTTACTATGTAGGGAGCTGGGGTGGGCTTTCCAGGTAAAGGAAGTAATACGTGGGGTGTCTAAAAGAGGATGCGTGTTTGACAGGGTCGTTAAGGCTGCAGGACTGAGAGGATGTAAGTGCTGCTGGCAGGTGAGTCTGAAAGGCAAAGCAGGGTGAGGTCTTGACCAGCCTTGTAAATGACCATGAGGGATTTGAAATAAATCCTGTAGACAATAGGAATTAGCACAGAGGCCTCGGAGGGAAGCAGCATGATAAGATTAAGACTTTAGAATGATTACTTGGCAAAGTTGTGGAGAAGAGGGAGGTGGCCTGGGACTGGGAAGCTAGTTGGTCTACTGCAGCAGTCCTAGCAAGGGGTGATGTGGGCCTGCCTTGAGCCACGTGGAAAGGGAGGAGGAGACAGACACACAGAAAACCTGCTTACAAGGTATACTTAGCAGAGCTTGGTTGGGAACGCCACATAGGTGAGTCTGCCACGAGTCTGAGGTGACCCCCAGATACCTGTTATTTGGAAATTGGATGGAAGAGAGCATATTACTCCATGTCGAGGATTTACAGGCGGAGAAGCACGTTGAGTGGAAAGATGGGTTCAGAGTTGAAGGGCTGATGGTGTAGCCAGGTGGAGAAAACCAAGAAGCCATTCTCAAGTTCAGAGTGAAGTCTGGCTGGAAAATCAAATGCCATTAAGGAAAAAAATCTCTCAGAGGTTAAGCTGTAGTTTTTATGGCAATATAGGAATTTATTTTCATATCCCCGATAGCAATGGCAAAAACTTTTAGCTACACACATAATTAATATATTTCTTTTATAAATACCTATGTTAAACAAAACAAGACCAAAATAAAAACCCCACAAAAAACCAAAACCCCAAAAAACAATGACAAACTGTGCCAGAAAGGCTGTCGTGCACCTGAGACTGCCACCCTGCTGGAGGCATTGCAGGGTGAAACAGCTGTACATTTTGGGTAGAATACATGGCAGTGTGAAACAAGAGCTAAAAGGTGATCATTTGATTTTGCTCAGTAATCCTAGTCCTAGTTACTAAAGGGAAATGATTCACTGTCTATGAATGAAAATTTACCTTCTCAACATGATCTATAAAGCAGTAAGGTAGAAGGGAATGGTGCAATGGGTATGCGTGTGCTTCTACTCAGAGTAGAAACATGAAGACTATGAATAAACACGGGAAGACGTTTACATTGATGTGAAAACAGGATTAATAATCGTCACATCTATGCAAACCTGTGTGTGCCAATAGGCGCACACTAGAAATGTATTAAAAATGAAAACTGTCAGAATGATAAGAGTATAGACAATTTTCTCTTTTTTTTTTCCAAAGTGAAGTTGATGTCAGTACAATTTCTCAAACACTTTTGAAAAGGTGTCTGTTAAGTTGCAATAAAGCAACTTAATGTAGACATGCTCCAAACACTGTAATTGAAATGTTTCCTGAGTACCTGGGGGAGGGTGGCAGGTAGAGGAGGGAGGTGAGAAGCAGAAGAGGCCAAGAATGGGGACGTTCAGGGTGGCAGCAGCCCCCCGCCTTCCCTGGGGAGTCCCTGTGGATGGCGTTGGGCACTCGTGACCATGGTGGTGGAAGCTTCATGACACAGCCGGCGTTGCGTGAGGCAGGACCACCTCGTTTCTTTTACAACTGCCCCCCGCTGAGCCATGACACCGACATGGCCCGGGAGCATGTCTGCAGTGGAAGATTTGAATTGAGACTGGTGGCAGCGGATGAGACAGCCGTGTTTCTGTAATGCGTACACTTGGTTTCATTGACACATTAACCACAGGTGAGGAAGGAAAGGCCACAAGGTGTGGGGTTACCATGAGTGGGGGCAAAGGAACTAAAAAAAAAAAAAGCATCAGCATTGCAAAGACTTTCCACAACTCAACTCCACACCCACCTCGAAAGCCCCGTCATCCCACAGGAAGTGTGCTGACCATGGGAGGAATAAAAGAGACCCGAAAACAGTGGCGCTCACCGTCTTTGCTCAGCTCATCAGGACCTCAGCCATGAGACCCGTCATCCTGGCCTTGCTTGGCTTCTGCTGCCTCACTGCCTATGTGGCCGAAGGTGAGTCGTGAGATGGGAACAGACAGGCAGACAGGTGGGCGCACTCTTGGGCTTTGACTTGCCCCGAGCCAAACAGGAAGGATAATTTTGACTCTGGGGGACCTTGTAGGTTCCAAAGACAGAGAGAACTTGGTTAGAATCTGGGCTCATACTTTTCATCATTGGGTGATTAGGGGTAAATCTCTTCACCTCTCTGAGCCTACGCTTGCTTATCCGTAAATTGAATGTGGTAACAAGTACTCTCACCTGGGATTAAAATGCAATGCCTGAGGCTCCTTTAGCAGATGTCCTCACGTAGTCATTTCTTGATTACTGTTAGCTGTGGAATGGTGGTGACAATTATCTGTGCCTCTGTAGCTCTTGCCTATGTAATACTGATCTTGATAAATTCTCCGGATATTTGAGGGACCACTCACAATGTGGGGGTGAGCTAGACGGTGTAGGTTCTGAAGCTAGTCAATGTTTTCTATTAAAACAACGACTGGAAGCTCATACCTTCTTACTAGGAAATCAATGTTACCTTCAAGTACGTAGGAGAATCTATGATTACTGCTCCGAATGTCCTCATTTATGAGAACCGAATTTACAAGAGACTGATGATAAGTGTTAACCAATAGATCAGTATCTTATACACAGATAAACTTGCGAGGCACACCCAGGTGCCACTTAGATATACTGAGCCTCACCTGAGCCTCCCACCCTTATTTCCTAAGGGATGATTTTTTTCTAACCCATTGGAGCTTATTTCTCCTTGTGGCTCTGGCAGCAACAGACTACCCCTTGGGTGTAATTAATGTCACAGTGAATCTCCTCTCAACAGCCTAATTTGTAGACTTATTACTTAAGACTAGAATATCTGAATCTGATCACGGGTCCCCAAGGGTGTCCGTGAATAGAGGAGGCAAAGCCTGGGACTCCCTGAAATTGCATGCAGAATAAAAAGCATTGAGGAGACAGAAAAGTTTAAGATTACTAAAGGAGACAAGGTGGCTGGCATTCTGCTGACTCGGCAGGTGTGCCAGTTGGTGGAGACCCGGGTTAGGGTTGGGGAAATGATGGGCTCTCCGAGAGGGACTGCAGATGCTGGGCTCCGATTCCCGAGACTTCTACTGGAGTGTCCTCTACGAGTCCCCCTCGCTTAGCCTCTTACGTACAACAGAGCAAAGCAATCTGTGCTTTGACTCAGCTCTGCAACGTGCGTGAAGGTGATGTCTGCACCGATGACACAGACACACAAATGTTGCTGAGAGTCAGGAGAAGGCTCGGGGGTTTAGCCTCCAGTAGCACCCTCTGGGTCTTGGGAGCCCATGTCGGATGCTTCACAGAGAAAAGTATTGTTTCTTCAGTGGTGAGAAAAACAGAAAAAAACAAACAAGCGGACTTCCCTCTTTCACTGGGTTCAGAGAGAGTTCAGCGTTCAAAGTAAACTGGCACAGATGGAGGGTAAAGAATGTGCCAACTGGGTATTGAGAGTGATGGGAAGATGGAGAGATGGAAAGGAGTGAGGCTGGCCAACTCCTTTTGTGTAGTTTCCTGTTGGGAGGAAGCCTCACTTTCTTCAGCAACACTACAGAACAAACCTGATCATCATCAGCTGTTCCTTTAGAAGCTTCTTAGCTGAATACTTCTCTTCTGCTTAGGAGAGAATCAGCACTTAGAAACCTTGATTAGATTTTACCAAGCCCTTAATATTTATCAACTCTCCCAGTTATTTTCCCTTCTCCCATGTAGGGTGGTTCCCTAAACAGGAACGTGTAATTCCCCTCGGGCTGTTTCCAGTGAGGATGGATACTTCATGAACTAGCTCCTTTCTACAGTTCACATTGACCATTCCCCTTTGTCCAGTCAAAAACAATAGTTAATGTTGCCTTCCCAAACTGCCCTTGATCACATCACCCTTAGTTATTCTGTTTGCAGCGCTGCCATATTTATACTATTTGGAATTACATTTTATCTTCATTTGTCTGTTTGGTTTTCTTCACCAGGCGTGGGGAGTGAAGGCGTGGAAAAGGAGATCTGTGTGAGTCTGACGACCCAGCGACTGCCATTGAAACACATCAAGTCGTACACCATCAAGGAGGGCCCCATGAGAGCTGTGATGTGAGTTTGTCTCCCCCAAAGCTGGGCTGGGTGGAGCGCCGTATACAGAAAGGGTGCCCTCCTCGGGGATAATAGGTCAGCATGGAGGGAGACCTCGACTTAACCCACAGCCCCTTTGTTTTTCCATATTGACCATTGACCGTGCCTTATGGAGCACTAGATAATGATTATCACAGAAATTTGGCAACTGAATAAAGAATATCATCCTCCTTTCTGATTGGCTTAGCAGAAGATTCTGACTGGGAACCGGGTGAACACTGTGCTTAGTTCTGAGGGTTAGGTTTAGAGATGGTTGGCTCAGATCAGGATTTGACCATATGGCCATGCTGATGTGAAGCCCTCCCCTCCTCATCCTTCCTCTCCCCCTGCCCTCCCCTCCCCCTTCCTCTTTTCCTCCCCTTCCCTCCTCTCCCCTCCCTTCATATGATGTGTTGGAGTAAAGTAGGGTGCCATGTTTTTGTCAGTTGCCATATCTCAAGAAAATGTATCAAAAACTAGCCTGCATGGTTCCATTCTCTTCCCAGGAGCTCATTTTCAGAACAGCAGCTCTTCCTAACATATAACTGCCACTTTACCCAAAGAAATTAAGATAGGGAAGTCACCTTTCATACAGAAAATAAGATGAGTGTATTTAGACTTGAAAAGGAAGACGGCACGTAGGCACTGGACTAGATGACGTCGAACGCCTGGCTTAGCTCCAGTGTTCGGTAGCTCTGATGAGAAAGGGAGCCTGGGGTATGTGGTGAACAGAGGCGCTGGGTATTACCCGGGGATATTTCTCCTTTTTGTTAAAATAGATTACAGAAGAAAGGTTTTCCTTTATAGTCTCATGGTTCTGAAAGACCATTTTGTCCAGTGATTTCTGCTTAAGAGCTCTTATGTTTGGTCTGATCTTAACTCCTACTCTCAAGGCTTTGAGGCTATGACTGACTTTATCTGTCTTTTTCCTTACATTGCAGACTTATTACCAGACGTGGCGTGAAGGTCTGTGCCAATCCACAAACTGAGTGGGTGAAAAAAGCCATGGTACATGTGAACAGCAAAAAAAGCACAAAGCAGACCAAGCCTACTGGAGCCCAACAATCCACCAATACACCTGTGACCCTGAGTCGGTAGTGGCCTTCCGGCTCCTTGTCCCCTCGTGAGCCAGCCAGCTGATGTCCCTTTATAAGCTCATGGACTAATTAAATTATACTCACCTTTTCTGAAAGTGCTGTGTGTGTCAGATTATTTTCTTGTATTTTTTGTTTTTCATGTCTTTCACCTTTATTGAGAGCTATAATTAATAAATATTTATTATTAAGGCTAGTCTCATAGTCTATTCATTTCATATTGGGAAAGGTAATCTATCATTTATGTTCTGTTTCTGTCTCACCTTGGATCTCCCTTTGATGGTATCCTTGATGGGAGAGATTTGGGGCAGTTGTTTTATCAGAGATGAAAGCTATATTCATTGTTCTTAGGTTCCAGCTTGAAATGGTTCTCTACCCATGAGTCACAAGTGATAACTGTGACGGTGGCAACAATTCAAGATCTATTTCAGCCTGTCTTCATAATGGAGTTCTCTTTACGGAATAAGGGAGAAAACCCAACGGTCTCTGGGTTCCCCTTCCGAATGGGATGGGATACTAAAAAAGTGGCTTTATTCAAGTTTTATCTCAAACAACATCTCTTATCTCTTGTGTTTCGTTTCATCTCCCATGGAAGGAAAAAAAGGAGAGGGAAGGTAGCAAAGGTCAGACTTTAGGCAGAAAAGATGCTTTATTCAAATAAAAATCAACGCCCTTTGAACTGGGCAGTGATCTTGCAGCCGTTCTCTGATTTCTGTAATTGTCATTGCTCTAGTTATCATGTAAGTCATGCTTTTCTGTGAGTAAGCGTCTGGCACCCTAACTGTGTCACCTGGAACATTTCTTGAGTGGTGTAACACTTTGCCATCGAGTTTTAACTAACAGTCCACCTGGCCATGCAGACCCATGTGCTCTCTTGTGTTGTTGTTAGATTGCTGATTTGGTTCATGGTTTTGGCTCTCCTCTCTGGGTCACTGGTGATGTGAACATGCAGTGCCCTGTGATCTACACAGTCAGAACCAACCAGGGTTTGGTAGTTTCAAGGGAAGAGAAAATACTGCGGTCTAGTGCCAAGGGGACACTCGGGAATGTCAAGGTCGTTCACAGGGTGGCTGAGGGCAGCTCACTGCAAGTCATCTCCCTAGTGACCCAGAGTGGGAACCGCTTAAAAGCTGCCTCCTAGCCCAAGGTGGGGCCATCGGTGCTTTCTCATTGCCGTTTGCCCACAGTAATGTTCAAAGCGGGTCTTCAGAAAAATACACACTTACTCGGAATAAGCGTGAGCGGTGAAGCATAGCAGTCATAAAAGATGAAAGGAATGGTGTCCTGGTTGAACTTCGTATTTGTGTTCCCCAAATATCTCCCAGACCCTCAGCATTTTTATGAGGCAATAATGTGATATGCGGAAGAAAGTGGATGTGTGTATCCTGTTGACTTGTTATCTGACACCAGGGGTTTCAACCAAATCGTGTGCGTAACTTGGAACTAACCGACTGGATGTTTTGAATTCGTTTAGGTTAAGACCTGAGTCTACTGACTGTGCCTCTGTGGCTTATTGGCTTTCAGTTTAACGCAAAGAAATAATCTAAGAAAAAGACCTCAAAATATTATTGTTTTAGTGGCTGCGACCCCTCCTGGATGCACCTGTGGCATCTCCTAGACGTACCTGTAACCTGAAGCTTGCTCATTTGCCTGTCTGTGCTCTGCCCACCCCCCACCCTGCAATTAGACTGGAAGCTGCTTGTGTGTATTATTATTTTTTGTTTATCATACTTTTAAATTACATTTATTGGGATAACATTGGTTAATAAGGTATACATTTCAGGTGTGCCTCTTCATAACATGACCTTTGTATGTGCTGCCATGAGTTCACCACCCAAAGTCCAGTCTCCTTCCGTCACCATGTATGTGCGGAAGCAGCGAGCAAAATGGAGTCCCCGCTTTCATGGAGCTTACGTGCCGCTAACAGGTGCCTGCGCTCTCTTTTTCCAGGATTCTTCGTCTCCCCACTTGCCTGTGGCAGCCCGACGCACCCGGTCCAGGCGCCCTGCTGGGCATTGAGTGCGGCCGGCCGTGGCACCTGACACAGTCCTGACCTCCAGTGAGCTCGCACAAGTGAATGCTTCCAGCACAGTGTCACGTGTGTGACCACAGGGGAAGTGGCGAGTGTGAGGTGTGGACACGCAGGAGCGCGCCTGCCCAGGTCTGCCCAGGGGTCAGGGCAGCCTCCCCCTTGGAAATAGCCATTGCCCTGAGACCTGAAGGGGCGTCAGAGATATTCATGGCCTTTCAGTGCGTTCCAGGTAAAGGGATCAGGTAGCACACAGAAAGGCCTGCAAGTGAGAGAAATTCGATATGCTTAGGGACGAACTCAAGAACAGGTGACCTTGAACGATGCGGGGGGTTGGGGCACTGACCCCCGTGCTGTTGAAAATCCACGTATAAGTTTTGACTCCCCCAAACTGAACCAGTAGCCTGCTCTACCTATAACGTAAACAGTAAACAGATTAACACGTGCTTGTGTGTCATAAGTATTATCCACTGTATTCTTACAGTAAAGTAAGCTAGAGAAAAGAAAACGTTGAGAAATCATAAGGAAAATGCATATACAGTACTTGTTGAAAAGAATACACATATAATTGGGCCCGCGCAGTTCAAACTCTTGTTGTTCCAGGGGCAGCTGTAGTTTCATGTGACCGAGGGACAAAGCGACGGTTAGACAGCAAAGCGAGGGGGACAAACCTCACAGATTGGGAGATGGAGGAGCTGTCACCAAGGGCTTGGCCTGCCAGATGGAGGAATGTGCACCCCATCTTGAAGGCTGGCAATGACCCTGGTTGCCAGTTGGAAAGTGGGGTGCAGAGGCTGAGAAGGGGACTGGGAAACCAATCGGGAGGTGGCTCTGGACCTGGTGACTTTTGAACTTGGCTTGGTATGGTGGGGCCCATTTTTCCTTCCCTCATGGGCCTTTTCCACTTTGCCGAGGTGCCTGTTAGTGGCGCATGACTGCCTGAGGGTGGCTCAGCCATACCTGCCATGTGCCTCAGGCAGCGACTCCATTCCCCGATCCGTGCCTGTGGGGCGCCAGGGCTGGCATGGGAAAAAACTGCATTTGTGGGAATCACCTTACTGTTTGTGTTATGTATTGGCTAAGCTAAGGTTGGCTTTGGGGGACCAGGATTGGAGCTGACCATGAGGAAGGAGGGGGAGGCAGAGAGGAGAAGCAGTAAACTTGACATCAGTGGGGTTTTGAGGCCCACAGACCAAGCCTTTTCTGATGTGTTCAGTTTCCCAAGTATTGTTGAGCATCTGCAGAGTGCCAGGGGCACAGGACCCGGTCTGCTGTCACAAAGCCCGTGATCTCATGGGGAGCTAGTCACCAAAGCCATTCCCATTTAGATGTTCCAGATGGCTCAGCTCAGGGCTCCCCTCCTCTCAGATGTCCCCAGCCTAGGTGACACCCCTCTCCTGTACCCATTCAGCCTCCGAGCTTTCCTCTATTATTGCTCCGATCACCGTGAAATACCCATTTACCTATTTGTTTATTTAAATGTTCTGTCTTACTTCGTAGTCAGGGTAGGGACTGTGCAGTGATCGCTGGTGCCTGGAACCTGGCATAATGCCTGGGACATCACAGGCCCAGTATACTTTCGTGGAGGATATACTACATGCACGTATCACTACTCTTAGCAGTTGTCATAAAAAGCTATAGGAGTCCAGATGAGAGGATACCTCCACCTGCCCGGTGAAAGTCAGGAAAAGCTGTGCAGAAGATGCGATGGAGAAATCGCACCTTGAAACCTGAGAAGGGTTTTGTGAGGAAAAGAAGCTGGGATGGCCGCCCTGCTGGAAAGAACCGCACAGACAGGAAAGTCAGGGCCTGCTGAGGCCAGCTGTCCTTTCTGGGACGGCTGGGCACCACGGCAGAAAGGAAGCATGGGACTGAGAAGGTCCTGTGTGCCCTGGCGAGGGTAGGATGTAAGGGAGCAAAATGAACAGACCTGAGGTTTAGGACCTAACTGGGTAGGGAGGTGACCATCCCATTAGCCCGGGCTGGAGGAGATGGTGGCCTGAATCAAGCGGCTGTGGGACTAGGAGCCAGGGGACCAACACAGAACTGGAGCAGCTTGGTTATCAGCCGGATGTGGGAGATGAGCCGGTTGGAGGAATTGAGACCGAGCTGGGATTTCCAGCTTGGGTGACCTGGTTAAGAAACAGCTCAACTGATGGGGAAGGTTTCAGTCTAATTTCTGGCGTGGTTACTAATAGACCCTCGAGAAAGTAACACCAAGGAGAAGTAGATGAGCAGAAGGAAGAGGCCTGGAAAAGTAGAAAACTGGTTATTAATCAGCCTGAGTACTCAAGTGATTCAGACAAAAGCCCAAACTACACTCTTATTCCCTTTCGACAGACAATCTTTTTATGTGGATGAGGTAAAAATAAGGCTGAGTATCTGTGAAATGCTTTATACCCCTTGGGGGGGGGGGGGGGGGGGGGGGGGGGAACGTTGAATTAAAAAAGGATGAAACAGGTATGATGAAACCAAAAAGTTTTATAGAAAACAAAAACTGNGGGGGAACGTATAAATGGATACAGTATCCACTGAGTGAGTCACCAGTGTTATTTTAAGAGGGATTTGTCACTTGGCGGTGGGAGGCAAAGAGATGAATCCGTAATGAGAGAAAAAGAGAAATGAGGTGAAAGAAAAGGTTTTGAGTGAGAATTACGAGCGTCCAAGCATGACTGCAAGGTGGGGTTTGATGAGAGAGGCTGAGGGAGGCGGCCAGGGGGAATTTTCCCTTTCTGTGGGAGGAGCTCTTAAAAAGTGGGTGCGACCACTGAGGGCAGAAGGCCAGAGGAGTGACCTGGAGTTATTGTTTCAGAAGCTAGAAGGGAATTTAGAGGCACCTCAGCTCGGAAAAAGTCCCTCCTCCTCACCTCCTACCAAAAGAAATGTCAATCAAATACAAGGGATGTAGGTCGATCCCCGGTCACACTGCGTTGCCTAGAGTCATCGCTGAGGCTGTGTCATCCGCTTCTTCCCAAAACTTGTCATTTCTGTCATCAAGGTAGAATTGCTGAATTGGGTATTTGTGAAGAAGGTTCACATTCTGGAGTGATGAAACAAAAGACCCCATGACCGGACTCAGCTGATCTTAATCAGAGCTACCAGATGTCCTGTTAGGGAAGATGGGCTTT